CAAACACTTGACATCGTCCGAGGCACCAGCGTCGGAGGCCTCTTCGCCGCCAAATCATCCTTCAGCTCCCTGTGTTGGCTCAATTTGGTAGGAGGATTTTTGTAGGGGGGGGTTTGTAAAATTTCAGAGCAGTTGGGAGCTCCCAAGCGCTCCACAAATTTGTGGAGCGCTTGGGAGCTCCCAACTGCTCTGAAATTTTACAAACCCCCCCCTACAAAAATCCTCCTACCAAATTGAGCCAACACAGGGAGCTGAAGGATGATTTGGCGGCGAAGAGGCCTCCGACGCCGGTGCCTCGGACGATGTCGAGGGTTTGGGGTTGGGGAGCCAGAGCTTGCGGTCGTCGTCGTCGTCGAAGATTGGGGTGCGGGCGTCGTCGCTGAAGATTGGGGTTTGGGGAGATAGAGCTCGCGGTCGTCGTCGCCGATAATTGGACGTCGTCGGGAGAGGGTTTGGGTCGGAGGATTTGGGATTTGGGGTTGGAGGTTTGGGCTGAAGATTGGGGTCAGAGGGTTTGGGATTTTGGGGTTGGAGGTTGCGAAAGAAGGTTTGGGTTGGGGATTTTTGTTATTGGGTGTGCTGCTTTGTTTGAGGGGTTTTTTTGATATTGTTGGAGCTCCTAACTAGGAGCTTGTTGGAACTTCATAAAATAAGTAGATGCTCCCAAGACCTATTTTTATAATTTTTAATATCAAAATGCTTGAGAGCTCTTGAGAGCTTGCTGACTAGGACTCCCAACTGGGAGCTTGCTGGACTTGCTCTCAGTGCGCTCACTACGTTGCTCACATGTACATTAATCCTCATCACAACCTCAGAGTTTTGATGTAGTGACCGAGTCCTTTGACATGGTACCGGAGCAACTCAAGTTCAATTCCTACATGAAAATAATTCAGGCGAATGTGTTTAAAAAATAAAATCTATAACGCTACGCGTATCTAAGTTTGGGTCCATAAAAAAGACGCTCAATCTAATAGAGCATGTTAGTTATAAATCATAGCCGCTCTTTCGTGCCAGAGAAGGCAGCACCTTGGGTTTATATGCTCAATATTCCATAGCTGTGTTGATTGTCATTATAACAAACAGTAGCAGCAGAAACTGATGAGTGCAAAGAAAGTAGAGAGCATAGCGGTGCACGAGGACACTTTTGCAGAGCCTAGTTCTCTTTTATATGCTCATCATTGTTTTCTTTAATTTGTAAGGGAACCCATAAGCGTTTAGCTCGCGCATGACTTTAATAAAGGGAAGTGGACCCTTTTCTCCAAGCTTTGCCTTCTGAAATTGGCTT